CCACCCACCTGGGAATCAGTACTGGAAGGGCCCAATTTGCTTGTGGGAAGCTGAGGAAGTGACTGAAAGTCAGCAGAGAGCTGAGCAACCAGCATTGTTCCCTTTCAGACCTGTCCTCACATACAGCACCATATCGCAATGTGGGTTGCCCTACACTGGTGAATACCTAAGGCTCCATCCCTTACTGCATAACAGGGGCACCCAGACAAAAAAATATGGCCCAAACGAAAGAACAGATCAAAGTTCCAGAAAAAAATACAATTAAGTGATGAAGAGATAGTCAATCTATCAGATGTAGAGTTCAAAACACTGGTAATTGGGCTCTCCCAGAAATGGTTGAGTATGATCACAAAATAGAGGAAAAGGTGCAGGTTATGAAAAGTGAAATAAAGGAAAATGTACAAGGAACTAAGAGTGATGGGAAGGAAACTGGGACTCAAATCAATGGTTTGGACCAGAAGGAGGAAATAAACATTCAACCAGAACAGAATGAAGAAACAAGAATGCAAAAAAATGAGGAGAGGCTTAGCAACCTCCAACACAACTTTAAACATTCCAACATCTGAATTATAGGGGTACCAGAAGGAGAAGAGGAAGAGCAACAAGTGGAAAACTTATTTGGACAAATAATAAAGGAGAGCTTCCCCATTCTGGCAAATGAAATAGACTCCTAGGAAGTCCAGAAAGCTCAGAGAGTCCCAAAGAAGTTGGACTCAACAAAGCACACACCAAGGCACATCATAATTACATTATCCAAGATCAAAGATAAGGAGAGAATCTTAAAAGCAGCAAGAGAAAAGGAGACAGTTACTTACAAAGGAGTTCCCATCAGACTGTCAGCTGATTTCTCAAAAGAAACCTTGCAGGCAAGAAGGAGCTATAAAGAAGTATTCAAAGTCATGAAAGGCAAAGGACCTACATCCTAGGTTACTCTATCCAGCAAAGCTATCATTTAGAATGGAAGGGCAGATAAAGTGCTTCCCAGAGAAGGTCAAATTAAAGGAGTCCACCATCACCAAGCCCTTATTATATGTTAAAGGGACTTAGCTAAGAAAAAAAAAGAAGATAAATAATATGAACAGTAAAATGACAATAAATTCACAAATATCAACAACTGAATCTAAAAAAAACAAAAACCAAAAACCAAAAATGAACTAAGCAAACAACTAGAACAGGAACAGAATCACATAAATGGAGATTACATGGAGGGTTATCAGAAGGGAAGGGGAAGGAAGTGAATGGGGGAAAAGGTACAGGGAAGCAAAATGGTAGGTACAAAATAGATAGGGGGAGGTTAAGAACAGTATGTGAAATGTACAAGCCAAAGAACTTATATGTATGACCCATGGACATGAACTAAGGTGGGGGAATGATGGTGGGAGGGGGTTACAGGGCAGAGGGGAATAAAAGGGGGAGAAAAATGGGACAACTGTAATAGTATAATCAATAAAATATATTTAAAAATAAAAATAAAGATAGCACATATAAAAACTTTATATTTATAATAATATAAACTTTAGGAACTCAGTTTCTATATTCAAAATATTTTTTATTTATGAGCATATCAATCCAGTTCTAATAAAATAGTATTTAGTTATTTTTTAGTAGGTCTTGGTTCATAAGAAGCATTTTCTCCTATGTTACCCCAAAAAAAGCTTTCTCAATTATCCATATGTAAATATACCAAAAAACAAACCAATGACTTCCCACAGTTGCATTTTACGTGTTGGCTATGTTAGTGAAATAATTTGTTTAATATGTATGCATATTTGTAGATTTATTAATACCCAAATAAGTATGTATATATAAATAGATCCTATTTAATCAGAATTGAAATATTTGTTTCCCCTCTAATTATCACCCAAGTCACTAAAAGCATTTCAGCTCCAGCAGAAAATAAATATTTTTATGATTAAAAACTTCCGGGTTATTTTTGGGGGTTATTTCTTCATTCTTCCCTGCCTACATATAAATAAATATACAGATACACACTTAAAAATGGGGAAAACCCATTATCTCTTAAAATAATGGGCAAAACTAATGAATGGATAAATAAAATGTGTTGCATTTATACCATGAAATATTACTCAGCATGAAAGAAAAATACAGTACTGACACATTCTACAACATGAATGACATCGGGAAACTTTATTCTAAGCGATGGAAGCCAGTAACAAAGACCACACATTGTATGGTTTCAGTTGTGTGAAATGTCAAGAATAGACAAATCTGTAGAGATAGAAAGATTAATGGTTGCCCATAAATAGGAAAAAAAAATAACAGGATAAACAGCTAATGGATATGGCGTTTCCTTTGGGGGTAATAAAACTATTGTAAAATTGATTGATTGTAGATTGTATTCACTCAACTCTGTGACTACAATACGATAAAACATTGAATTATATGCCTCAAAATGGGTGAATCGTACAGCATGTGAACTATGCCTCGATAAAGCTGTTACCAAGAACAAAATCTGAAGCCGACTAAAAGATTTTAACTGCAACGTTATGCCAAGTATTTATATGTGCAGAGAATGTGTGATCACGGAAACAGATGTTCAATTCATTCACAGCGAGAAAAACTGTAACGAAAGCTACACTGAGGGACTGTAGATTACTTGTGATAGTGCAGCATTTCCTTGTGGGGGGAGGATGTGGGGAGACGGTTGTTCACCTCACATGTGGCAGGCAGGCCTAGAAACACAAGGGCACCCGTTTCATCAAATCCACTAAATTACATCATCAGTCGGCTTTCTCTCTAGGACCTTTTTGAAGGCAAATGATGACAAAGACAAATTGACACCCATGCAGAGCATGTGACCAAAGCTATGTTAAAAAAAGAAAGAAAGGAAGAAAGAAAGGAAGGAAATGACTGAAATGCATTGTGGGAACAAAAGAGGCAAAAACATGACAAAGAGAACTTAATGAACCTCATGCCCTCACTTCCAGGACGTGGTGTGTGGGAGGCTGGATGACTGCATGGAAAGATGCCACATCCTCATCTCCAGAGCCCATCAGTGATTGGTTTATTTACCTGGCAAACAAATTGATCAATAAGACCCTAGAGGTAAAGCAACTACCTTGCAGCCATGGCTGGTGTGGCTGTGGCTCAGTGGATTGAGTGCCGGCCCGCAAATGGAAAGGTCACTGGTTTGATTCCCACTTAGGGCACATGGCTGGGTTGTTGGGCCAGGTCAGGTCCCCAGTAGGGGGGTGTGTGAGAGGCAACCACACATTGATGTTTCTCTCCCTCTCTTTCTCCCTCCCTTCCCCACTGTCTAAAATAAATAAAATCTTTTTTTTTAAAAAATAGAAAGAAAGAAATTACCTTGCATTCTCCAGGGAAACTTAATGTAATCACAGGGTCCTTAAAAGTAGATGTGAGAGACAGGATGGTTCAGGTCGGACAAAGGGATGTGACGATGGGAACTGGGGTTGGTGACATGCATGTGAGGACTTGAGCCACCTCTGCTGGCTTTGAAGACAGAGGAGGAGCCCTGAGTCAACAAGGAAGGTGGGCGACCTGTAGACACTGGAAGAGGTGAAGAAATGAACTCACCCCTCCAGGCTACAGAGAACATAGCTCCGCTGACACCGTCATTTTAGCCCAGTGGGACCCGGGTCAAAATGTTATTGGTGGAAATTCAGCTCTTTCACAGGATTGTGAGCAAAGCATTCTGAGGATTCATGCTTGGGAGATGGAGGTGCAGCCAAATGCTTTATTCACGAGGAAGGCTGCCTCTGGGTGTCCTACCTGTCCATCCCCCCATTGAAAAAGGCCAACCTTGTCCCTAGCAAGGCCAAAACAAAAGCCAAGATCTGAAGTTTTTGGCGCGTATTGAGGCTTAGTCCATTTGGAGCCCAGGCCATCAGCTGCGGACCCTGGTAGCTGCTACACCCACATGGCTGCCTGCTCTGGGGCAAGAGGGAACACAATAGGTGTGTTACCTAGTGGGTGAGAGAGGAACAGAGAGAGCAAGAAGAAGGGAGGGAGGGAGAGAGAGAGACAGAGCTTGTCCCTGTTCCTTTGACATCTTATTAGCTCGGGTGTGGGATGGACCTGGTGCTTTTTCAAGAAAACTCATCAGCTTCCCAAGCTTTTGTGGGCTTCGGATGACGTGTGCACACTCACCTGTTCGACTGACCCGCCTCTTTGGTCAAGCCCCGCCCCCAACAATCCAGTACCACTTGGGGGCGGGGGAGGGGGTTGAGAGGGGGGCTAATCCCAATAACAGAGCCACGGTTTAATCCCCTGGAATGCGGAGCTGTGGTTTTCTGGCAAAGCAAGCAGGCTCCTGCTCTCCGGTTTATTCAGCTTGATGGCTAATTTTCTTTGCTCCCCTTTCTTATGAATAATGAGCTAAATACATACAGCAACAATACTTCCAAGTTTGTGAGACTAGGTTAAGGAGCAATGGGAAATGAGAAAAGTACCAGGATGCAGGACAGTATATATTTATGTAATATTATATATATTTATTATATATATGTATAATGATTGTTTTTAAGAAAGTGTTGGTAGGTAAAATAAAATCATGTGTTTCCTTATTTTTTCACATCTTATTTTTTTCATTCTGAAAACTAACGAAATCAGTTACCTCCGATATGTGGGGTACTGGGTTAGCAGGAGAGAATCGAGTGGTCGTCTCTGAACGTACCTTTGTGGGCGGCTGTAGCGCTGGAGGAGCCCCTTCCCCCCCGAGACAGGCTCAGATCCGGAGCAGAGAGGGGCCGGCACTTCCCCGGAGAACAGGGGCCTCAGTGAGAGCCAAGGGAGCCTCCCTCCCTCTGTGTGTGCTGTCCCTGCGGGGACAGGGGGAGGGCGGGAGACTCCCTGCCCAGCCCTGCTCTGCAGGAGACCAGGTGACTGGCCCTCGTCTCGTCCTGTGTCCCGGCCGCAGGGGGGACCCAGCGCGGGTGCAGCGCAGCCACACACGCAGCGTCTCAGGGTCAAGCAGCGTCCCCTAGACCCCAGAGCCCACAGCGTGAGCGGCTGGGCTGTTGACCCTGGTGGCTGAGTTTGGGTGACGTGTCAGGACGTGAGGTCAGAGGCTTGTCAGGAAACCTGTGCCCCCGTTTCCTGAAGCTCGGGAGCTTCCTGAAACCACAGAGTGTGGAACACCACGCTCCTGAGAGTCCCAGCGCTGCTGTGACAAATGAGCACCAGCGTGGTGGCTCACAGCAACCCAGATGTGTGATCTCAGGGCCTGGGAGGTCGGGAGTGAAAACCGGTTGACCTTGAGGTGTCTGCAGGGCTGCCTTCTCTCCTGGAGGCTCCGGGGAGCGTCCCTCCCAGGTCTTCCAGCGTCTAGAGACCCCACATTCTGTGATACGCGGCCCCTTTCCTCGTCTTCAAAGCCAGTGGGTCCTTCTTAGGAGGCGTCACCGGGACCCAGGGTCTGCTTCCTCCTCCACATCTGAGGAGTCTGTGATGCCCTTGACCTTTGGGAGTCACGCTGTCCTGGGGGCACATGTACAAGTGCCCACGTTTCCTCTCTTACTTCCCTGCATGGGAACCCGGACTGGGGCTGCTGGATGGAGGGAGACTCCCTGTTCACATTCTGAGGAGCAGCTCTGCAGATACACTCAGAGGCTGCACCACTTTGCGTCCCCACCAGGGGGCGTAGGGGCTCCCGCTCCTCCACAGCCTTGTCACATTCCCTGTTTATAGGTTATTATGTTTAATTTATTCTTCAGTTACAATGGACATACAATATCTTATTTCAAGAGTACAGCACAGGGGTTAGACATTTATATACCTTATGAAGTGACCTCCCCAGTAAGTGTAGTGCGCACCATTTAAAAATGATTTCAGCAATACTTGTCCTGAGGAGTGTGAGGTGGTATCTCACTGTGGTTTTGCCTGGAGTCCCTTCCCTGGACTTTAGATCCAAGTCTGCTGGGACCCGAGGGGACAGATGCAGGAGGCAGAGACCACTCCAGGAACAGAGGTGGGTGAGCAGGGGCACAGAGCAGGTGCAGTTCCACAGATGACAGGTGTGGGTGAGACCACAGTCTTCAGAAGCACATGCCCGGTCCCCAGAAAGCAGGTGAGAATGCAGGGCTCCAGGAGGAGGAAGAGGGAGGCAGAGGCTGCAGGGAGCTGGGGCCTGTCTGAGATCCAGGAGAGAAGGGAGACCCAGGGAGGAGTGAGACAGGGCTGTGAGTGGGTGAGGGTCAGGTCTGGAGCCAAACCCTGGAGAAGGAGACGGACCACACAAGAGGCCAGGTCCCCACTGCTCCTGCACCCTTCCAAGGACAGAGTCTCATGCACACAGCAGCCTCACCAGGGGTACTGTGAAATTCACATAATAGGGGTGGCTCTGGGTCTCTTGGGCTCCAGTGTGAGCTTTGGGCCCTGGTGGGGAGGTCCTCCTGATGGCCTGGAGTCAAATCTCTCTGGCTGGATCTCCCTTGTGTCCATCCCTGTGGTCTGTGTGGCCACCTGTGCCAGCCGTGCCCAGCCTCTGCCAGGATCACCACCAGGATCAGCAACACCACACAAGAAAGGCCAATGCAGACATAGTTCTCTACTGAGTAATTCTGGGAGGTGGGGGCTGGAAGAAGAGGACAGGGGGTCACTGACAGGTGGACAAGAACCAGCCAATCCCAGCACCAATGAGACAGGAGCTCCTTCTTCATTGGGCAGGCCCATCCCCTTCCAGCACTGCCCTGGGCAGGCTCCCAGGTGACTTACCTGTCTAGGGAACCCTCTCCTGTGGGTGGGGTCGTGATTTCTCGGGTTGTTTCTGGGAGTGAGAAAGGACCAGTGTTTGTCTCCTGCACAGACCCTCCCTTCCCTGGGATCCCCCAGGCCCTGCCTTCCCCACCTGATGACCCCTGGGGCCGCAACCCCCAGCTTCACTACCAGTCAACTACAGGACCCCAGTGCAGGGCACAGCCGAAAAATGCAGACTCCTTCAGGGATCCTGATGAGTCTCTCTTCCTGACTCTCACCCCCTAGGTTGAACAGGCCTCTTCAGTTGAGGATGCAAGATCTCCCTGCCTGCTGAGTGTCCACCTTCCAAGAGAGAAGCAGGACCCCTCCCCATTGCCACTCTGTTGCTCACTTCCCAGCAGAGTCCCCAGGAAGGGACACCCCAGGCTGAAGTCCCCACTCCTCAGCCCAGGAGGGGCTCCAGTGAGGGGGCAAGGAGAAGCCCTGAGCCCAGGTTTCTCCTCAGCCTGTGCCTCTCAGCCTGGCCCTGCAGCTCCCACAGTGTCCACACCTGGCCTCTTTCTCTGCACCCCTCAGTACAGAGGACGCCCCCTGGTCTCCCCCAGAGAGGGGACAGGGACATATGAGGACAGCAGGATGGAATTCTTTGCTTTTATGTGTCTGAGGGACTGGGTACCCCTCAGAATGCCCGGTCACCCTCCATACATCAGCACAAAGCAGTTGGACCCTCGTCCAGAGACAAACAGGGTGGGTGGGAACCACTAACCTGGTCACTGGCTCACAGGGTCTTGGAGGCTGACCCCACCTATCAGGCCCACTGTGTCTCCCACAGTGCCCCAGGGTGGTGTGGGGTCACAGGGTCAGGACAAACTGGGTGGATATGCCCTCAGACTGCAACGGCAGTCATGCACTGACCCACGGAATGACTGAGTCACAGCAGAATAAGGGGAAATGGGAGAGAAAATGCTCAATGTTGAAAGAACTATTCCCTTCCTGCCCTGCTCCCGTGAGGGAGGTCCCCCTCCTCACTTGAACCCTGACTCCAGGCCTCTCTGGGGCTGACCACACATATGGGAAGGAGAGTCTCATCTCCAAGGTCCCCAAAGCACCATCCAGCCCTAGTCAGAGACCCCATGGACCCCATGCCTTGCCCAATAGTGGGGGAATCAGCCCACAGGGGACACTTTGCCTGGGGCCCCACTGAGTCTGCCCAGGTGGACAAATAAGGCTGAATACCATTCTGAGTGAAAGGACCAACAGTCCCTTGAAGGGGGTCTCTCCCTGGAAGTTCACTCTCCACCCAGCCTTGCAGGGACAGCTCCCAGCCCACACCATGCTGGGTCTCAGTGTCCAGGCCATTGTGGTGTCCAGATGGGATCAGGGATCCAGAGCACTGAGCCTGGTGTGAAGTCCAAGGGACAGGAGTGCTAAGGGGGCAGGGGGATCCATAGGGCTGAGGGCCAGCAGGAGGGCAGGGAGACAGGAACAGAGGACAGTGGTGGGGGGCAGGGGGCAGGGACCTGGGGGCAAACCTGAGGGTGGAGTGGAGACATCCTCACCTGTCACCTTCAGCTCCAGGGGCTCACTGGGCTCAGACCAGCTGGGCCCTTTACTGTAAGAGCAGAAATAACTCCTGGGCATGACGTCACTCACTACGTTGATGTGGAATGTGGCCTCTGCCCCCTGGGAGCCATGTTGAGAAGAGATTTTCTGATCCCAGTAAACAGATGGATTCTTCTCCTCCACCAGACGGAATAAGTCAGTCCCAGCTGGGCCCCGGCACACGATGGTCACAGGCTGTGCCCGGTGGATCAGGTCCCGGCTTGGCCCTGATGGAGGGTTTGGGCAAGACCCCTGGGAAAAAGCAAGCAGATCTCAGGGTCTCCCAGGAGGAAGTCACCACACTCACAGTTCCCCATTTTCTGGGTTCACTTGTGCACTTTTAGCAAACTTGCAGAGCTGTGCAACCATCCCCATGACCCAGTTTAGAACATCCCACCATCCTTCTCCAAACATCACCCCCACACCCACTCCAGTGACTGTGAATCCTCACCACTGCAGACTGATGCCCCTGACACAGGACCCTGAGTCCTGGTCACATGTTGGGCTTTTCTCAGGGTGACACAGAGGGGGGCAAAGCAAGCTTGGTTCTAGGGTACATCTCCCTGCCCATGGCCACTTTCTAGGGGACAGAGATCCTGGGAGAAAGGCAGAGGGTGAGGGTGATAGGTCACAAGTGGGGACAGGGAAGCAGGTGTCTGAGATGTGGAGAGACCTGGGCTGGGACTGAAGGGCAGCTGGGTAACACTGTGGGGACCAATGGGGGCTGCAGGGCTCCCCTAGGAGTCCAGTGGGGGTGGAGCTGCACCCAAATCTGGTTACATGACCCCAGTGGGTGGGGATTCCTGACTCCAGGGGAATCCTCTGAGCAGCACTCAGCTCTGTTCCCACTACATTTTCTACCTTTCTCCCAGCCTGTTCCCATTTCTAGTATTGAGGGTCCTGAAAGCCCATGTGTGCCATGTGGCTGGGGGAGGAGAGAAGAGAGGGCTCGTAGCCCTGAAACAGGAAGATGGCACCACAGCACGTGATCCCTGACAGAGGCAGGCGCTGGCCCAGGCTTCCCTAGCTCATCCTAGTTCCTCTCCATCCATGTACAGAGGGGCCCCATGTGCCACTGGCCCCACAAACACAAGATTCACACACAAGGACCTGCCTCCTTGTCTACAGGGAAGAGGGAGCACAGAGGCTGATGGAGGCATTGTGCAAACCCACAGCCACACACGGTGATGTGTACCCCAGTGAGTGTGGGAGCCTCGAGGCTGACGAGGGACAGCTGACCTCATCAGGGAGGCACAGAGGAGAGGCACAGAAGCATCAGGCTGAGATACAATGCCCAAATGTGAACCAGCCAAGCTCAGCGAGAGGAGAGTCAGCCTGGGAGATGGAGAGACCCAGACAAAGGTGTTTGTGGAAGTGAAAGAAATCCTAGGTCTCCACAGAACAGTGGGTCAGACAGCGTGAGAACAGACCCTTTCCATTGGAAAGAGGGGCCTGTGTACTCTCTAGCTGAGGGTAAGCTGTCGGAGGACTCTAAGAAATACTAATATCTTGTCTGGAAATGGAACATGTATGAAAAAATAAATTAAGAAAATTATACTCACCCTCCTGTGTGTGGATGGTCTGGGCTAGGCAGAGCACTGGAGGGGAAGCTGTGGTGAGAGAAACGCCCAGCGCCCAGCCTCCTCCCGGGGCTGCACTCAGGGGCCCTGATGGAGGCAGGGCTCAACCCCTGAGAATGTCCAGCTCCCTCCTCAGCATTCCCTCTGAGCACAGCCCTTCTTCTGGCTCTGAGTTTCAACAAAGCCCTAGTCCCCTCTCCCACACAGGTACTCAGTCCGAACCTGTCCCCACACCCAGGTACCTGCTTCTAGGACTGAACCTTCCATGGTCAGACTTGGGTCAGAGTCAGAGCTGAGGAGTCAGACCCCCGAGAGGGACCACGAGTCTCCTGGGCTGGAGTCAGGACTCAAAAGGGATGAAGATGCCTCTGCTAGCTTCCACCCCTTTGTCCCAGGAGGCTGTCCCTGCAATCCAGGACTCACTGAGGACCAGGAGGAGGTTGGGATGGGGGCCCATGGCCAGCCCCCGCAGCAGGCAGCTGGCACTGTCCTGGAGCCGGAGGGTGGAGGACAGAGCCTGCAGCTGACACAGTGGTCAGGCAGTGTGGACCGGGAGCCATCTTAAGTTACTGCCTCAATGACCTCGTGCAAAGGAGAAGAGCTCTTTATAGTTCCTTTCTCTGCTCATGAGACAGAGGAGGAGGGTCCCTTGGTGTCCAAAAATATTCCTTCCACCCATGCTGGGATGAGACTGAACTCATACCCCGAGTGTGGACCTCACTTTAATCCACGGGCAAGGCAGGGAGTGGATTTGCGCAACCAGCTGACATAAATTCCCATTCCAGCTCCACAAACAAACCCTCTGTCCTTGCACAAAGCATGGCACCATTTCATGTCAATGTGTCTTCACATTAAAAATAGGAAGCCTGAGATCCCCCCCTCCGTGCATTTAATGTTAAGCTACATGTTAAATTCCAGCAAGGGAGTCAGTGCAGTAAATATGTGCTGTTAACGCCAGTTCCCTTCCCATCTTCCCCCCACCGCCCCTCGTCCCCACCCCTGTGGCCCTGGAAACAGGAGAGGGCAGGCTGCCCCATCAGCAGATGCAAAATCCTAAAGGGATTGAGCCCCTTTAAATCTCTTAAAGGGAGAGAAGCTGCTGAGGAGCCTGTCTGTGGGAAAGAGGGTGCATGGGGCCCCCATCTGGGTGCTGGGAGGAAGGGCAGGGGCAGGGCTGGGAAGGTGTTTGTGCTCCTTGCAGCTACAAGGGTGAGCATACTGCATATAAATGCAATAAATCATTGCATTGTATACCTTCAACTTAAACAGTATTTTACCTCGATTATATCTCAATGTTTAACAAAGGTGAGTCTGTGTCAGAATACTTGGAATATCCCTAAAGTACTCGGGCAGGGGCCCTCATGCTCATCAGTCCTCCTCCTGGGACTGAGATGGGGTCATGAGCCCCGAGGACAGACCCGGGTTCTGGAGCTGGATTCTGGCCCCAGTTGCACATTGCAGCCCAGGGTCTTGCTCTCACACACAGAGTAGCTGCTCAGATCCTCACTCCTCCCCCCCGGTTTCCGAGTGTCCTCAGCTGGTTCAGCCAAACAGGAGTGTCTGCCATGGGGTCTGCAGGACAGAAGTGATCCTAGAAAGCCCAGGGGTCTCTGTTTATTGGTGTTTCCAGGAGACCCAAATGCACAACCCTTCCCATGGCCTCCACATTCGCCCACTGCTCTGCCCTTCACTCCTCCTGCCAGGAGAACCTTGGTGTCCAGCCCGGAAGGCAACCCGGGGTTGCCGGTGGACTCACCCACTCGCATGCAGATCCTCAGACCTCGATGGAGCCTGGGAAGACCTCATGACCTCAATCCACCTTCATCCGAAGCTGAGGCTTCCGGGAACATGGCATTGTCTGGGCTGTCAGCCTTGGCAGCCTGGCCTGGACTCGGGCTGGGGAGGAACCCAGCTGCCCATGGGCTCCCTGCCTGCAGCCCTGGGCTATGGAAGGCTGTGTGTCCAGGAGAGGGTTTTCCACCATTGCCCTCCCCTCCCTTCCTTCTCTGGACTCACTGGGACACACAGACGGTGAAAGTGGAGGATGAAAATGCTTCAGCTGCACCCCAAGCAGGAGCCACACCAAACTCACAAGTGCACAGGATGTGGTGGGCTGGGCTCCCCACCACAATTTAAACAGCAACCACCCAAACAATGAGCAGTTGGTTTTCCCCCCCACTCTGTGTAGGTCTCTGATCTTCCTGAGGCTGGGGCTGAGGCAGGTGGGCAGCTTCCTGGAAGTTTTCTGCAGGAGACCTGAGGTGGAGTAAGGCTCCCCTTCTGGGTGCCTGCGCAGGGGGCAGCTCTGCCCACAGCCTCAGCTCCCCAACGGGACAACCTGGTCTCAGCAGGTGCTGCACTCACATCAACGCTGACACTTTTGTGCCCTTCCTTCCTTCCTCACCTACAGTGTCTCATTGTGGTGTAGAATATTCCTTTACCAACGAGATATATAAGTGTATTATTCTTGTGAAATGATAACATTTACAACACAGAACTTCAAATATTTATTTTGAGAACTTTGACTCAGTACCACTTGTAAAGCCAGTGATTTTTCCTGCATCAATGCCAGTGAGTTACTGGATGTGCCTTAGAATGCACCTCAGAGGGGTCCTGGGGGTTGACCACCCCCGCCAGGGCCACTGTGCCACCCATGGTTTCCAGGCTAGTGAGGGGTCACAGGGTCAGAATAAACTGTGTGGATACCTTCCCAGGCCTGCAATGTGGGGGCCACCTCTCTGGCCATGCACTGACTCAGGGGATCTGAGTCACAGCAGGATAAAGAGAAAAGAGTGAGAAAACACCTGATTTTAAAAGAAGAATTCCTGCCCACACTTCACTCTCACCGTCTTTGTCATGCCCTGACTCCAAGATGTCTCAGGCTCTGACTGCACCCGGCTTTGGAAGCCTCACCCTAAAAATCCCCCAACCATTGTCCAGTCCTGGTCCGAAACCCCACAGACCACATGGCATTCCCAATGGAGGGTGGCCCGCACCACAGAGGACACATGGCCTGGGGCCCCACAGAGTGTGGGCCCAGGACAAAGGAGGCTTTAACACCATCCTGAAGGAAATGACACATGTCCCACTGAAGGGTGTCTGTCCCCACCTAGTGTCTAGAAGTCTGTTCCCCATCTAGCCCTGCAGGGACAGCTTCCAGCCCACCCCATGCTGGGGCTCTGTGTCCAGGCCATTGTGGTGTCCAGATGGGCCCGGGGCTCCAGGGCCCTGAGTCAAGAGCGAAGGACAAGGGACATGAGTGCTGAGGGGCAGGGGAGCCACAGGGCTGGGGGACCAGCAGGAGGGCAGGGAGCCTAGGACAGAGGACACAGCTGGGGATAGGGTGCAGGGACCTGGGGGCAACCCTAAGGGTGGAGTGGACAGTCCTTATCTGTCTCTTTGGGCCCCAGGGGTGCACTGCAGTCAGACCAGCCCAAGCCTTGTGATCGAGGCAGAAATAACACCTGGCACTCTTTTCACTTACTGCACAGATGCAAAAGCTGGCCTCTGTCCCTGTGAACCATGTGATACATGAGTTTCCAGCCACTGCAGGCAGAGCTGCCATCCTTCATTCGCAGATGGGCTGAGTCAGCCCCAGCTGGGCCCCAGCACATGGGTGGTCACAAGCTGTCCCTGGGGATCATAGACCTTGGTGCGGCCCCAATGC